GCCCTGCCCTGCCCTGCCCTGCCCTGCCCTGCCCGCCTGCTGCGCTGCAGTGTCTCCCAGGGGCCTCCCCCCACACCAGCCCGTCTGGGGTTCTCACAGAAAGCTGAGGATCCATTTCCGAGGGAGGAGAAGGGGTTAGAGACCTAAAATCCCATCAGCTGCTCGGCTGACTGTTCAGTTCTCACCCAGCTAACAGTCACCAACACCGTAGCCACCGCGACCCCAAGCGGGACAGGATGCCAGTGTTGGGGGCGGGGGAGGAATGATGGCTCAAAGTGAGTGTCACCAAGAGGGGTAATGGCTTTGGGCTCTCTTGCTCAAGCCCTTGAGCAGGTGTGAGGACAGCCTTGTCATCTCCCTGCACTCCTCCTCCCCACCGAAATAATACTTCTGCAGTTATTCAGCCCACAGCCCCAGCTTCGGGGGGAACGGGGAGCGGGGAACGGGGAAGGGGCGCGGCATCCCCTTCCCGGCCCGCCATTCATGGAAATACTGTCAGCCGAGTCGGAACGCCTGGCACTGGGTTGGGCGAGTGGCACACCCTCCCTGGGTGCCCTGGAGCTGGGGGCTTCCCCCTGCTCCGACTTTCCCGGATTCTCTGCCTCTGAGCTGTTTTCCTCTCGGTAACCATGGACTTGCCCTAATTGTCTGGGTGACCTTAGTCAATCCACAACTGCTTTCTGGGCCTCTCTCCTCCTCCAACACGACGAGGTTGAACTGGGCTGTCCAAGCCTCCAAATTAACCTGATTCTGGGTCTCCAGGCTCAATGTGGACAATGACTGGGGGCGGTGGTGGCCCAGCACCTGCCCAGTGTGGAACAAGACATCTGGCAGGAGTAACGTAGAAGCTCGGCAAGGCTGAGGGCACAGCCCCATTCTCCAGGGAACATGCAGACCCTGCCCCAGTAGCAGCTGCTGGAGCTCTCGACAGCTTTGATGCACTAGCAAATTGGCCTCTGCACCCCCGGCTCCTCTGCCCAGCACCCAAAGGTACGAAGGGAAAAAAATCCTCATCGATTTCAAAGAACCCAAGGGCTTTGGGGGACATCTGAACGAGAGACTTCTTTGAAGAACTTCAGTGGTATTGCGATGACACGCAGTCTCAGTAATCTGCCAAGTGCAGGACCTAAGGGATGAGCTTTAAAGAAAAGATAAGCACCTTTGGTCATTAGCACATGCGTGGAAGCTAAAGTGTTTCCAAAAGTTGTCAGTCCCGCCATCTGGATCAATCTGGATTAATCTGGATTCTTTGTTAAACTAGCTCTTGCTTTCTAGGTCATGCCAAGGGACCTTATCCCTAGCCTGACTGAAGTATCAATGGCACTGTCCAACAAAGCCAGGCCTTTAGTAGAAAGAACAGTGATCCCAGGGCTGGGGAATATAAGTGTTGGTCTAAACTCCACATCGCCACTATGCTGTGTGACTTTTGGCAAGTTGCTTGCTTTCTCTGGGCCCATTTCATCTTTTGTAGAATGATGAGGCTACACTAGATCAGCATTTCCAACCCTGTTCTTTGGTTGGTATGTGCATTAGCAATTCATGAGAAACTGTCCTGTGGGCAAACATGTTGGGGAAACGCTAGAAAAAAAGATTTCTTTCCATCAGGATGACCTGGTCCCAAGAATGTGTAAACATGTACTATTAGTCTCCGATGAAGTGACTGGAGGTTATTCAGTCTGGAAAATGCTGGTCTGGATCTCCCTTAGGGTTCTGTAGGCGCTGACCTTCCAAAAGCTTTTATTGAGAGCCAACTGTATGCCAGGCTTAGCAGCAAAGTAAACATGTCAGATGGTGTCCCGGTCCTTTTTGAGGCTTGGTGAGAAGCACTTGAGAAAGTCTGCTCCATGAACCCCTTTCCCCACCCTCCAGAGTTGCAGGTCTTGCTGTCTCGACTGACCATATCCCCAGCCTGTAATCCTGCCTCCGTGGGTGTGGCTTCAGGCCAGCGCCGCTCCCCCCCAACCCCCCCGCAGCTCTCTGACACTCCCTGTCGGTGTGAGTGAAGCTAATCACAGCGACACATGGTCCCGTGCAAGCCGGAGTGAAGGCAGCATGGGACCCTGGCAGGAGCTCCTGCTGGAGGCCTCCTTGTTCAGGTGGAGTTGGGGAGCCCTTGCAACAAAGCGCCCCAAGGGTCCAGCCTCCCACCACGCACAGAGGCAAGGTACTCCCTCTGAGGTCCCTCAGCGGAGGCGACCGACTCCAGATCCCAGGCGAAATGGGACCCACACTTAGGCAGACTCGCACTGGACTTGTAAACAAGCAGCGTCGGTCTCTATCCAGTACCTACATTTTCCCAGCCTGTTCCTGCCTGTGGACAAAACAAATGACGTTAACTGGCCTCCACTGCTGTGACTAATGAATGGAGTGGCCGTTCCAAGACCAGCTGCTGATTGATGGGTTTTCACCTGCTCCTCAGGTGTTTGAGAAAGCAAAGTTTCCTCTTCCTCCCTTCCAGCTGGTTGACCTGGAACAGCTGTCAGAAAAGGCTTCTGGATATTTCCACTCTATCCTGACTTGCCCCTGTGGGTCCCACCCTTATCTGAAGGCTTTTTCTTCCTCTCTTGGCTACTGTTCCCCTTCTCTCTTCCGTGGCAGGGATTTCCAAAGAGAGGAAGTGGGGAGAGGGGCCTCCCCACATCTGTGTGCAGCCTACCCCTAGCGACTGGCCGCCCCCTTCACCAGCCTGGCTGGAAACTGTGGGACATTCCAGCACCTGTCATTTTGGGGTTCACATGCTGCCTCTCATTACTTGCATATTGGAACATTTCCAACCAGTCCTCAGACACGAATGCATCCCATATCCTTAGCGCCCTGGGAAGGGACAGAGAAGGGCATTGCTACCCCGAGAATGGGTTGTGTGTTCATTGCCATGGCATTTGGAAGCTCTTATTTTCTTCCACCAAACTAGCAGAGACTAGTGGAATCGACGCAGAAGGAATGGGCGCGTTCCTGAGCTGCAGCACACTCCGCAGCGCCAGCGTAAAAATAACCAGGGCAGGGGCGTGTGCGGCATTTTGCAGCTGGATAATCTGATCGGCAGAGGTCTGTCCTACAGTCAGGAGCTTGGCAGCATCTTCTGGGCAGGCCCCAGCCCCTCCCTGAACCCCACACTCACCTGGCCCCCAGCCCGGTGACATTAGCCTCTCAACGGCAGTCTCCAGGTTATCTGACAAAGTGGGATTCTCCTGTTCATGCTGCAAACCCCCTTGGCTCGGAGCCAGCGGTCTTGAGCTTACGGAGGCTTCACAAGGCAAAGCACCTCATCTCAGTGTGATCTACTGTGGTGACACACGTGGTGTAGTTTCACGATTTGACCGGGCGGCTTTGGCTCAAGCGGCATGGCCGGTGCTTGTCCCCCTCAGAGCCTCAAGTGCCTATAATGTGCTGCCCCATCCCTTTGCCTGCTCACCCATAATGTCCTCACGGTGCCTGTGACACTTCTTGTTCTTGGAATACACCTTGCCTTTTTGCCCGATAGCCAGTTATGTAGACATTGGTGACATCCTGGACATCCGCTGCCTAATGTCTACCAATAATGAGCAAAGTATACGCTGGGGTGTGTGTGTTCTCAAAGGAATGGCTTATTTGTAAGTGGTGGCTACTGTTCTCATAGGCTTTTAGCTCATAAAAACTGTTGAACTTAATGATCAAATTATATTTGTGTCTGCTCCTTTGTTCTCAAAGCCAATACTTGACTTTTA